CTTTCTTCACTTTCTCTTTCTGGGGTTACTGTTTAGTCACAAAGTTCCATTTAAAATATATATTTTAGAAGTCTTGTTAATGTTTAATAACTCTTTAAAATTCTAGGCAATCTTCTCCTTATTTTCAAATTCTGCTCCAATTTTTTTCCTCTCCCTTCCCACTCACAGCAAAAAAGGTTGTTGTTTTTTTAAATGTTCAGAAATCCTTATCCCTTTAGCATTTAATTACCTCCAATGCGGGTTTTCCGATTTCTCGTATGGTTCCATTCGCTGTCACCTTAGGAAGGAGAGTGAAAAGAAAGAAAAAAAAACTTTTCCTTTTAAAATTCCATTCGCCGCTTGTAAATCTCTCTGGAAACAATTTATCTTTGGCAAATTTCAAGTTCCAGGGTACTTTCTCTTACTTTATCCCGGTCAGCAAAAACCACTTTCACTTCTTTGCGACTACTCCTGCACTTTCTTTTTCCGGCTGAGATCTTCTATGTGGCGGCCATTTCTGACCGCCGCTCAGCTGCCTTTGGAGAAGGGGTTTTTGCCAGCTAGGGAAGAGAGGTGCGATGTCTCTTGACCCTGCCAGATCCCCCCTGTCTTCGCCACCTTCTACGGAGGTGGCTAGCTCTGAAGCCGGGTGGCTCAGGGCACTTGGGCAGCAAGCGCAGGCAAAAACCGTGCACAGTCGTGGATTCCTGCCTGCCCCGAAGTACTGCAGACCGGAAGTCACTATGAATCTAGTCACTTCTATCACTGCAAACAAGTTGCCAATGTAACTCACCACTAGATGTCTGATATTGACAAATTCTTATTACCAAGGAAATAGGTGTCCTTGAAAAAAAGGTATTGGAAGAATATCTGAAGGACAGTGAAGAAAATGCACTGAACCATAAAGACTTATTGAATGCTAAAAAGATCAACTGACTTATAAGAAAGATCAAATGAATAGTATAATAGGTACATGTAGAGGTAAAGTATTATATGGCTGATACATTAAAAAATAATTAGACAGGAAAGCAGATGACAATAATGGTTAAGAGCGGGGAATGGCTAAGAGCAGGAAAATGGAAGGTTAATCCTGGCTGCCCAAGACCCACCCTTAAGAATAAAAATATATACAAGGCAGAATTGAGAAGACTGCAAATTCTGCCTCTGTTAAGAAGCAAAAGAAACAGTGAACCATCTAATTAGGTGCTGCAATATCACACAGACCAACTGCAAACAACGGCATGACAAAATAGAAACAATGCTACAGTGGAATATCTGCAAGAAATGCTTATTACTTACTTACTACTTACTTACTTACTTATTTACTTACTTTAATTTATATGCTACCCATCTTGCTATCCAAAGTACATTTGCCTTCAAGCAAGAACTGGTAGGACTACAAAATAAATAAAGTAATAGAAAATGAAGAAGCTAAAGTATCCTATGTAGAATTCTGTAGGCTGTAGAATTCAAGCATTACAAGCATACGCCACAGATTCAACAATTGTTGATAAGAAAGACAAAAAACCCCTAGAAATTGGACATTGAAATACCCGGAGACAGCAGAATAAGAGAGAAATAACTGGGATGGGGGAGAACTAAAATAGAAAGACCAGCAAAGGGAGGTAGGACAATTGTGGCAAAAATAAACAAAGATAGTACCAATATTAATAAACACCTTTGGTTCAATTCCAAAATACCAAAAGAGCATCACTTGAACACCATCAGCATTGATAAATCACAACCAGTCAATTGTAAAAGGCATTTTTATTTGGAATAGTTCACATCCTGTAAGAATATCTATAATATTATTAAACAATAATATCTGCCTATCTGGGATCCTTGGGAAGGATCAAATGGAAAAAATGGACAAAAATGCCCAATCTAAACAACAGAGTGATTATGCAACAAAGCAAAATAATAATAGTATCAACCTTGTATAGTCCCATGGTTCCTTGAAGATCAATTTTGGCCACTTTGGGAAACTCTGCCATAGAGGTAAAAGCACTGTAAAGCTATATAGACCGTGACATAAGAGTATAGGAAATATTTCTTTTTTCTACGCAAGTCAGGATGATCTAAGTCAAAAGCAGCTTTTATATCCCCCAGGATCCCAACCACATTAGGGGCAACGCATAGATGTAGAATTCTACTCCTATATTTTCAAGTGCCATCCATGTTGTAGTACTTTTGTATTTTGATTCTGCTTAAAAAAAAACTATTGACAATTGGATTTTCTTTTATAATTTAAGGCCATTAAATTTAATGAGCTTTTGGGAAATAGCTTATTCATTGCATTTTCTTTTTGAAAAGCCAATCTTCCTTTGTCAGGGGAAAGGATGATGCTTAAGTAAGGTAGATATTTTGTTCTATTTTGATTGGTACTAGCTTAATTGATCTATTTCTCTGAGCACCAAGTATTTATAAATTGACATATTCAGTTAGTTTATTTATTAAATATAGTCATCCACTCTGTTTCTCTCTCTCTTCCCCCCTTCACACACACAACACACACAAATACACATATACAGAAACATGAGGTATTAATTTGCAGTCTCCTGAGCTGTTAGACTACAATACTTACATCCTCAATAATCTTGATAATTATATATGCAACATATATTCCAATTATGGATTTCACCAAGTTGTTGCTTAATTTTAAAAAAATTAAAAATTGTTCTGTATGACTTTTTCCATTTCTTCTCTTCTCTTATACAAAGTTTCCCTGCATTAATTTATTATTTAAGTCTGGTTGTACTATTCATGATATATTAGATAGTCAATAGCAAATAATGTGACATAATAATATATACCTGTAGAATATAGATACAGTATCTCACAGAGAGTATACTCCCTCACATTTTGTAAATATTTAAGTATACAACACTGAAGAAATAACACTTGGCTACAGTGTAAAGTAGGAAGTATATAGCTTGTATAACAGTGTAAATGTGCTGTCCCCTCAAAATAATGCAACACATAGCCATTAATGTCTAAACTGCTGGCAACAAAAGTGAGTGCACCCCTAAGTGATAATGTCCGAATGGGGCCCAAAGTGTCAATATTTTGTGTGGCCACTATTATTATTTTTTCTTGGGAATAGAGTTCACCAGAGCTTCACAGGTTGCCATTGGAGTCCTCTTCCACTCGTCCAAGACAATGTCACGGAACTGGTGAAAGTTAGAGAGCTTGCGCACCTCTACTTTCCATTTCAGGATGCCCCACAGATGCTCAATAGGGTTAGATCTGGAAACATGCTTGGCCAGTCCATCAATTTTACCCCCAGCTTCTTTAGAAAGGCAGTGGTAGTTTTGGAGGCGTGTTTGGGGTTATTATGTTGGAGTGCTGCCCTGTGGCCCAGTCTCTGAAGGGACAGGATCATGCTCTGCTTCAGTATGTCACAGTACATGTTGGCATTCATGGTTCCCTCAGTGAACTATAGCTCCCCAGTGCCAGCAGAACTCATGCAACCCCAGACCATGACATTCCCACCACATGGTTGTCTGTAGGCAAGACACACTTATCTTTGTACTCCTCACCTGGTTGCTGCCACACACGCTTGACGCCATCTGAACCAAATAGGTTTATCTTGGTCTCATTGGACCACAGGACATGGTTCCAGAAACCATGCTTGCCTGCGGGCTTTCTTGTGCTTCATCTTTAGAAGAGGCTTCCTTCTGGGACAACAGCCCTGCAGATGAATTTGATGCAGTGTCTGGCATATGGTCTGAGCACTGACAGGTTGACCCCACCCCTTCAACCTCTGCAGCAATGCTGGCAGCACTCATACATCTATTTCCTAAAGCCAACCTCTGGATATGACACTGAGCATGGGCACTCAACTTCTTTGGTCAACCATGGAGAGGCTGTTCTGAGTGGAACCTGTCCTGTTAAATTGCTGTATGGTCTTGGCCACTGTGTTACAGCTCAGTTTCAGGGTTTTGGCAATTTTCTTATAGCCTAGGCCAACTTTATGTAGAGCAACAATACATTTTATCAGATCCTCAGAGAGTTCATTGCCATGAGGTGCCATGTTGAACTTCCAGTGATCAGTATGAGAGAAAGCGATAACACCAAATTTAACACACCTGCTCCCCCTTCACACCTGAGACCTTGTAACACTAATGAGTCACATGACACCAGGGAGGGAAAACAGCTACTTGGGCCCAATTTGGACATTATCACTTAGGGGTGTACTCACTTTTGTTGCCATGGGTTTAGACATTAATGGCTGTGTGTTGTGTTATTTTGAGGGGACAGCACATTTATACAAGCTATATACTCACTACTTGACATTGTAGCCAAGTGTCATTTCTTCAGTATTGTCACATGAAAAAATATACTTAAATATTTACAAAATGTGAGGGGGTGTACTGACTTCTACGAGATACTGTATATTCTTATTTTGTGAACTTCAGAACATATGCTTATCTTTGTAATGCTTATTCAAATGTAGTTACATAGAAATAGTCACTACATTTCCTTATAAAACAAATGCCCAAAATTTTATTTCCCCAGTGGTAATATGTACTAATATAGCATCTAAAATAAAATATATCTAAAATAAGTATGTGCATACATAATATAATATAAAAATCTATTTTTATATTGCTTTAACTATTGTACTGTTAACATTTTATTATGTGTAAATATAAATAACAAAACAGCCACTTTTTATCTTCAATTTGATTTGATACTCTGCCTCTGGTTTAAATTTCTAATGCTTTATTTTTCATAAATTGCTGCAATTTAAGATGTGTGCTTTATGTTCAAGTGAATGAGCTGTAATTTCATTGTGTTTTCATGAACTAAATTGCTACTTATATATATTAAATTAAAAAACAGTGATTTTACTAAATGAATTCTTTAATTTAATGACTAGAGATACATCATTTTGGAGAAAAATGTATTTTGAACCAGGTTTCATATGCTTTAATAGATATTCTTGCATTTTGTCTTTTATTATATGTATGTACACACCTGTCCCCATTCATTCATTGTTATTCTGACGATTTACACAGCTTTATCTCCTCTAGGTTCCCTCCACACATGGTCCCTCCACATCATAGTTTACATACAACTGGGATTCCTCATCCAGCAATAGTCACCCCAACAGTCAAACAAGAATCTTCCCAGAATGATGTTGGCTCACTCCATAGCTCGTAAGTTGTTGTTATTGTTGCTTACATTTACATTGTTTACATTTATTTCAAATGATGGTCTAATTTGTAGCAAGCAGTGTAGGAAAGACTTTCTATATGCCATTGAGGTTGACATTTTAGAACAGTGGTCACCAACCGGTGGGCCACAGCCCATTGGTGGCCGTGAGAAAATTTTGGTGGGCCGCAGAGAAATCTCACCAGAGCACCCTCCCAAAGCAATTAATCCAGGCTGCGCAGAAACACAAGGCTGTGCTGCCTACATGGCCTGCAGGAACGCTCCCCACCCACCCACTCCTTACCCTGCAAACTTGACTGCTAAGTTGCTATTTTTCCAACCATCATCTGTTCTGCTGTGCCGGGAGATTCAGATTAGCTAGGAAGCAGGAAATGGTTTGATTTCTTGCTTTCCAGCTAGTCTTTAGTTCTTCGGCTCTGCTTTTAAGCACAACTAAACTTCCCTTAGGATTGAATGTTCTGTTATTCAGTGCAGACTCACGGCAAGTAAATTTGAGAAATTGAGCTAGCCAATGGCAGATAGATAGATCACTGAATGATTCTGTGAGCAACTCAATCTGCCTGCCTGCTTTGCCTGATTTTGGGTAAAAGTTGCTCTTTCTTTATATTAAAAAAAATCAATATTTACATACATGTTGTGTTGTGAGTTAATTTTGTGAGTTTGCTTGCTAGTAAATTTTATAAGTTTGTTTGCAAACAAATTTTATATGACAGACTGAACTTGCCGGTGCTAGATAGATAGACCACTGAATGATTCTGTGATTCTGTGAGCAACTTAATCTGCCTGCCTGCTTTGTCTGATTTGGGGTAAAAATTGCTCTTTTTTAATAAAAAATATCAATATTTATATCAATATTTATAATATTTACATACAAGCCATGCCCAGCCAGTCACATGACCACCAAGACACACCCACAAATTAGGCCATGCCCACAGAACCGGTTAGTGGCCCCTGGGATTTAAAATTATGAGTTCGGTGGTCCCTGAGGTCCAACAGGTTGGCAACCCCTTTTTAGAACATAAGATTTTAGAACATAAGAAGCTGTCTTAGACTGAGTTTGATCATTGGACCAATTAGCTCAGTGATTTAGTGATTTTCCAGGGTTTCCAGCATCGAGTCTTTTAATATCCTATTGGAAGCTGACAAGGATCACAGGATCAACTTTTGGCCTGTAAGGTTACACTCAAACACTGACCTATTATCCATTTATTTTAAATTTGTTTACACAAACATTTAGGCTTTAATTAAGATCTCTGTTGACTCATCGATCAGTGTTTTGTTCATAGTTAATGGATGTCAAGTTTATTTAAACAATGTCTATCTATGTAGATTTTTTACTTAGAGAGTACCTGTGAAATATATAATGTCATGCAAGTTCTGTTTTTTTTATTTCCTGTCAACTGTCTAGAAAACATCAGGACTCCAAAAAAGAAGAGGAGAAAAAGAAACCACACATAAAGAAACCTCTTAATGCATTTATGTTGTATATGAAGGAAATGAGAGCGAAAGTTGTAGCAGAATGCACGCTGAAAGAGAGTGCTGCCATCAATCAGATTCTTGGTCGAAGGGTAGGTAACTAGTCAGGGTATGTATACAAACCTTGTTAGATAAAAAAAGCAAGATGGCTATAATGAAAAGACACAATCCATAAACATACTTCAGGGAGATTATGCCTATCCCATGGAATGTGTAGCCTTTTTTTGACTTTGTTGCTGTAACATGATGGGCTTTTGGCATTTCCTTACATTTTAGGGTAACATATAGATGATTATTAAATCTATATGTAGTTACACTTCTACAACATATATAATCTACACGTGCTATCTAATGTTAATAGATGTGTTTCCCTGATTCACATGATTTTTAGGTTTAAATGTAATCACTGCCTTGTCATCTTCATTTGCCAACCAAATCTGGTGCCTCCACTCTCAAAAATGTTTGTTGTGCTTTTTTATTTCTCTTGGTTTTTAAAGTACATTAGTGGTTGGATTCAATCTCTGATCCATATTTGTAGTCTATTGGAACAGGAACATCCCATCCACAAAGTTTTAGACATTAGTGCTGGAATCTCTACATGCAAGAATCCTAAATCTGATAACCATCATTTAGTAACAGAACTAATAATAATGTAGAATTATTCCTACTACTACTACTATTGTTGTGACTCTTAGCCAGCCATGATCCACAGCAACTTCAAGACAAAGCCATGCAGTTGGCAGTGTTTTAGGAACTGCCCATGCCTTCTTTCTAGGGGTGAGACTCACTGGCCCAAACTCATGTTTTTGCCATGTTGAAAAGCCATATATCATTGAAAGTATACACTGTTCTTTTTGTTTTTTCTTGTTGTTTTACCTTATCATATCTAGAATGATATGAAAGGCTACAAAATAAAATGTGAACTATTTGAAGGCCATTTTTGCATGTCTCACTCAAAACTTAGTACAAACCTAACCATCCTTGAGGTATTACACCTTTCATTTTTCCTAAATGGCAATTAATTAAATCTTGACTGAAGTAATAATGAAGTAGACTTTTTATCAATAACAAACAATATATCATCCATGTCTATTGATACGTTATGTAGTTTTCTAAGATGTACTGAATATTCTTTTGATGCTTTCTTTTTCTTTACAGTGGCATGCACTATCTAGAGAAGAACAAGCAAAATATTATGAATTAGCCAGAAAGGAACGACAACTTCACATGCAGCTTTACCCCGGCTGGTCCGCACGGGATAACTATGTAGGTGGCTATGTAGGTAGAATTCTTTTCAGTAGTAGAGATTGTAGACAAGTACTGCTGTAATCTGCTGAAGTACGCCCACACACGAAAGACAAGGACTACCAATCCGGTAATTATAGCGGATGTTTCCATTCTGTTGCCAACTCAATTGGATACAATTGGCACCCATTCAATAGAGGTGTGTCAGTAAAGTCTGGTGAGAACAAATTTCTTACAGAATTTATATCCTATTAGACCTTTAATTGTTTTACACGTTACCAAAATGATAGTAACAATGATAAAACAGTTCTCTTTCTATTCTCACCTTCATCTCTTTCTCCAACCCCCCAAATTGAGTGCCTTGTTGCATACCTGTGTGAGAGTATGGTGGAAAGTGGAAGAATGGCTTACCCTAGCTTCAGAGAAGGCAAAGATTTGTTGGAAGTCTTGCTCTCAAGTAGGGCTAAATAAATTATTCCACCCTCTACTGTTTTATATTTTACTTCATTGTACAATTATCTGTCATGATCACAGTTTGTTTAAAATGATATTGGCTTACCAATTACCTTGTACTGGTTTCTGTTATTTAGCCCCTTTCTTATCTATGTTTCCCTTTGAAAGGTTGAATAGGGAGCTTGTTTGAAGAATGCATCATACATAATCCTGACAATATGTTAACTTTGCTGATACATTGTAAATGAACATTTTATTCTCTAGTATTCATTTAAGCTTGGCTGAAATGGCTGGATATGTATTTTGATATAGAGGGAGGATATGAAGATCTATATCTGATCTGTCAGTCTGTGTTCATGATTGTTTATTTCCATATATTTGTGACTGAAATATGAATTTATTTCATAACATGCAATAGAAATCTCCCAGTGAAAGTATTGCATCAGTATGGACCATTTCAAATATGAACCAATTACTTAATAAAACCAATCCAACAATAAACCAATCACACCACTTAAACACTCCAATAAGTGTTAATATAAATTTTAAACAGAGCCCAAATATTTTCACTAGCAGAATGTAAATCGAAAATTAGGATGTACTGTTTGTACTGTTTATATAAAACTGTTCTATTTTTATCACCAAAAATGGCTAAACTGCATGGTAGATTTGCATCTGTATTGGGCAGCTATAAAACCCATTTTAAATTAAAAAAAACAAATGAATACATTGAAGTAAAATTAGAATGCTAATCTGCCTAAATTCTGAAACCAAAGAAATGAAAATGTGGGGTAAACATCCTATCGATCCATCATATCTGACCTGATTAAATAAAGCATTTTACACATTTTCATCAGGTAGATGTAAAGTCTGATATCCTGTTTAAGCAACTGGGTTTTCAAAAATATATAATTCAGAGGGTCTGATTAACCAATTGCCAAAAAGTGGGATAGGGGAATTTTGGCAATGACATGCTATTCAAACATAAACTATTGTACAAGTTAAATTGCTCTATCTATATATTTGCAATATATGGAGGATGCCTGACTTCTTTGGTATTTAATAGATTTTTAGTTTCATCTCTCTTATAGGACACCTTGTTTGCATATTACAGTAGCCCATTTTGCAAAATCAAATTCACTCATTCTTATTTCAGTAACTTAACAATATTCCTTAAATTCATGTTTATTAATCTGTTTGAGACTTGTTTCTACTTAGGTTATTTTAACAAATTTCTTCATAAAAACACAGAGATTATCTATTTATATATTTATTTAAACATTTACATGTCCACCCAATCATATCAAGCATATCATCAAGCAACATACAAGGAGTTCTGTTTCTGAGACTAACATAGATGAAGGTTTTGTTTTAAGTGCTAGCAACCCATATATGGTATCAAAATGTTCCCATTATCCTTTCCAAACCCATGCTTTTCCCATTTATTAAAGTATGTTCCTATTGCCTCTAGCTTTTTCCCTGCTTCTAAGCAGATAGCAGTGCTTATGACCTTCTTTGAGATAATTTCCATTGCAACCCAAGGGTATATTAATTCCAAGTTCAAAGTTGTTACCAGGAGTTAAACTGAAATTCCTCCTACTACTGTACTGTCTGATTTCACCAGGCTATGTTGCAAGACTTGAAAGATTTTCAGGAAACATATTCTCCTCCTACTTCCCTATCATTGACATATGAGCATGTTCACTGTCTTAAGCATTTGGACCTTTATAGTTGTCCTCCGTGTGGCACCACTGAAAATCTCTTTTTAAGTGAAGCTCAAAAGGATAGGCAAAGAAAGCCGAGGCTGTTCGAGCAACTTCCATGTCCATCTGATATTCAAGGGGAAGTTTTATACATGTTGAGGATAGGATGGCTCATTGCAACTGTAAGATATGTTGGGCTTTTATCTTTTTGCAATGTTAGTTGGAATTTATTGACTTCCACAGGCTATATTTGAACAGCAGCTTTCCTATGTATATGGAAAGATAATAATGTATGATGGGTCTTCTTTGTGGTAAATAAATGGACACCTACATCCCATTCACCTTCTATTTATACATTACACAAAGGATGACATTGGAATTTGAATCCCTGAAAGATTTTTATTATGCCCTTTTTCATAAATCCAGGAAAAATAATACTTTACGAACCAAATGTTTGAATGATCAGCTTTAAGCCACTAACTTTTGCCATCTGAAATAAGAATTATATGAACACTAGAAAAGGTATCATTGGTTTTTTTTAAAAAAAATCTCAATTTCAATTCAGTTAGAAGACATCTTAAACTACCAATATATGAATGCCATTAGCAATTTTTATTTCCCTAATGAAATGCATAAAGTTCAGTGAAATTCACAGTGAGATGACAATGCAATGTACCTGGAGACTCAGACAATGTAAGGACATTTTTATATTCCAAATAACAGTAAGATGCTTAAAATCAATGGAACAGCATAGCAGACATGTTATATATAATGATCAGTATTTAGACATTTCAATTTATTCATATTTGTTAAAGGAAGAATGGATTCAAGGTAAAGTACTCATTAAAAATTATTGCTTTTATTGTATTTGTATTAGTAAAGAAATGAAATTTACTGTGAAGAAATATGATTAAAGTGACAGAAGATAAAAATTTATAACATGAATGCCAGACTTTTTTTCTGGTTTTAAAAGGACACGAGAAACTAGGGGAAAAATAAAATGATCAAAGAAACATTATTTGCTTATTTGATTTTATGTTAAGAAATATAACAAAAGGATTAATAAGAAAGGAATTTATAAAATTAGAATGAGAAAGACAACAATGAAAGGGGAAAGAAAAAGATGTTTATATTATAAGGAATTTTTATAATACAATATTAACAGATATAATTTTGTTTTCTACTAGTAAATATAGTAGAACCTTAATTTAGCAGTCATCAATTTAATGGGCTTTAAATTAATTGGAGAAAAATTGAGTTCATACTTCACCATTATTTAGCCAACAATCACTCAGGTTTCATGGATAAATCCAAAATTTGTCTGGACAATTTATATATATTGTAATGCAGACAATGAACATTTTTTAGCTGATATCCTTTCTGTCAAAGGGGCAGAATATATCATATACATATATAGTTACAACCATACTTGAACTTAAAACTTTTCTTGCTAAATGAGACAATTTTTCAGTGAGTTTTGTCCCAGTTTACAACCTTTCTTGCCCCAGTTGTTAAGTGAATCACTGCAATTATTAAATTAGTAACATGCTTATTAAGCAAATCTGGCTTGCCAAATGACTCTGCTTGTCAGAAGGTCACAAAAGGGCCTCAGGAGACTGCAACCATCATACAGATGAGTCAGTTGCCAATCATCTGAATTTTGTTCGTGTGAACAAAGGAGGCTGCAGGGCTTGTAAGTGTGGGAAATGGTCATATGTTACTTTTTTCAGTGCTGTTGTAACTTTGAATGGTCACTAAACAAAACTGCAAATTGTGGACTACCTATATTGCTTTTTAAAGTTGATCGATATTTTCAATAACACATTAATGGCTGCCATAAACCTCTGAACACTGGAAAGCAAGAGCACAGAAATTGAAAATCCAGCCCTTGTAATTATTAATTTAATGGGTTATTATTGTACAGAAAATGTAGAAAATAGAGATTTGTCTAATCATGTAAAGCAGTTCTTTTAAGTTACATATTTCTTATAAATCTATAAGTATATAGTGTAGAAATATATCTTTATTTTCAATGTTCCATGAGCGTCTTGATATAATATATCCAATACCAATTAATATACTATGGTATATTTATTACCATAGCATATTAATTTAATATAGCGTAATTAAAGTATATTACACTACACATAATAAAGAAATATATCTTTATAGATATCTTTATTTATATCTATAATAAACAGATAAAAGTTGTCTAAATATTAAGTAAGCAAAAGATAGCTTATATAATTTTTTATGAATTTACAGCTGCAAATTAAAAAAAAATGTTCATAAGATGACATCTTCGCATTTCTACCATGTATACCTAACTTTGGGCGGAAATGTCCACAGCTGCCTCCTATTAGAAAAGTTGAAATGGTTGGACATTTATATTAATATTCTCCTCATTATGGAGATTGCCATCTCACATACTATATGCTGTGCCTATTTTAATAAAAAATATCAAAGTTGGATGATCATTTGGAATCCTCTCAGATTAGAATGTAGTTGTTTTTGATATCATGACCAAACCTTGTGCAACTGCTACTATAGAGTATCAGCATTTGGGCAAATTGAATTTATTGCTGTTATTTTGTACTTTTATTTAAAACTGATATAAATGACTCAGTGTATTTTAGCATTTTGAGTAATTTAAAGTTGACAGTCCAATTTTATTCATTAGACATTGCAGATTAAGAATTGCAACAAAATGTGGCAGACTGCAAGTATGCTGTTCAGAGTCCTGCCTGCTTTTGTTATTCTGTTTACTTGATTTGCTATTTGTCCCTCTTTCATACCAACTCATATGGGTCCCTACTTCTATTTTTGGTCTTCCCTTATCTGGCATTTTCCTCCCTAAATACTGTATGTCAAGAAAATTGTTCATTACTTACAATGGCTTATTAGGTGCTCTAAATTTTCTTTTCAATGGGGTCTTTTATTATATGATCATAGTGAGGGAAGTCAGTTAATAAGTCTTTATTGATTACAAGGTTCCAGCAACAATTTGTTACTAAAATTTAATAAAAGCAATTCAAAATTAAATTTGATAGAAAACTATTTAAAATGGAACTTGATAAAATACAGTTTAAAATGGAATCTAGACAAAATACGATTTAAGATGAAATAGTAATAAAATACAATCCAAAATAAAATTGTAATAATGTACAATAATTTAAGATATAGATAAAATATAATAACATTATATTTTGGAATCGCCCTTGCAATCTACTCCAATCAATCCCACATATGCAGATCTCAACCGAATCATTTTGTTTAAATACTGTGCTACTTTAGGTGTTATTTTCAAGTTCTGGCCGGACATAAGGTAAGTTATTTTGATATGGGTATCCCAAAGGGTCATTCGTCTGATATATAGACCAAGATACCTGTCTCTCATCCTCTTATACAGGCAACAGTCAAATAGGATGTGAGCCAGGTCCTCTACCTCTGCTGCTCCGCAAAAGCAGAGACATACAGTATTGCATGAAATCTCCCGTATCTAACCATTGTGTCAAGCTGTTCAAATCTCGCTCTCATGAATATCTCCCTAAGGTGTTTTGGGAGTTGTAACTTCAAGTAGCTATCTACTTGAAAAGTACATTTGTATTTACTCAACCATTTCAAGTTACCTACCTTATCAGTTTGTGCATCTATATCCTTAATTCTTTGGGCAACTCTTTTTTTAGATTATTCTGTTACACAAGAGATAGGAAGACCACAGCTTCTTACAAAATTTGTTAGTTTAATGATCCAGGAGATTTGTGATTGTAGTTTTATTTGCTCTAGTAGGCATAATTTGGGTAGTCTATCAGTCTCCATTTCATTGACTTTGCACCAGTAGTTATAAGCTCTAATTTTAGATAATGCCTGAATTATATAAATTCCCAATTCAGCTCTAACTGTTGCAGCAGATGTTCTTGGGTCTACACCCAAAATACAACTCAAATGCTGGAACTGTGTTTGTTCTAAGACTGTGGTTGAGTAAAGACCCCAAATTTCTGCTCCATACAAGAACATTTTGGTAACCTTAGCCTTATAAACCTTGATTAATGGGACTAGGGACCCTGGATAACTATGGTTTTTTAGTTTGAGCAATAAATTCAAATGGGCTTTTGCTCTAAATGTACTCCATTGATGATGGCAGGCCCAAGATCCAGTCTTGGAAAAAGTTACGCCCAAATAAACAAAGGAATTAACCTGTTCAATTGGTTCACCATCCAATTGCCACCTACGTCTCTGATGGTTTCTTCCAAACACCATTATTTTTGATTTAGATTTACTAATGATTAGAGAGTTATCCTGGCAATAAGAGCTAAATCTTCTTAATAGCCTACGTAATCCTACTTGTGTATATGATAATAAAATCATATCATCGGCATAAAGCAAGCTGTTACAGTAAGTATTTAAGATCATCGCCATGTGTACCATGGTATCCTTCATTAACCCTGGCAAGTCATTGATGTATAAATTAAATAATAATGGGGCCAGGATACACCCTTGCCTTATCCCTTTATTTGTGCAAATCCTGTTAGTCAGGGCCCCGTTAACCCCTACTGCACCCTCAAATAGGTACTTGTGTAGAGGGCTTTAATCAAAGCCAGGAGTCTGGGTTCTATTTTAAGAGATGTCAGTTTAGTCCATAGTACGTCTCTATTTACCAAATCAAATGTTGCTGTAAGGTCTATGAAAGCAGCAAACAGGGGTCTTCTCTTATAGGCATATTTGGCAATTAGATGATTCAAGACAAAGCAGTTATCAATAGATCTGCCTTGTCTAAAACCTGCTTGTTCTTCTGTGAAGATGTTGTTTTCCTCTACCCAGATTTCAATTCTGTTCAAAAGGTATCTAGCATATATTTTTGCTACAATGTCAATCAGGCTGATGAGCCTATAATTACTAGGATCCTTTTTATTCCCTTTTTTATATACGGGGACAATTATTGCCATCTTCCACCCATCTGGTATATGGCAGGTGTTATTTATGTGTGTAAAAAAGCCTGCTAATACAGGGCCCCACCAAATGAGGGAAGTCATTTCAGTAAGAAATATATTTCCATGATTTCTCCTCTAGAGGGATTTATTTTGTTAGATTTCACCGCTATAACTATTCTTCAAAACTAGTAAATTATATATTATAAATCAATAAAATTTGTTATAAAATCTAGTCTTGTTTTAGAGACAACTGTCCTGTTTTTATATTTTATATTCTAAAGCACTTAACTATTGCCCTGGTAATTGATGTAGATATAGCTAAAATTTAACTTGCTACCAATACAACTGAGTGTTTAGCACAGGAACCTCTGAGACATTAGACTCCAGGGTTGCCATAGATGAAAATATATCCACCCCATAAATCACCCCATGAAAGGTATAAGTGAAACTGGGCCTTTGCTACAGTCAGTCCTCATTTAGTTGTTAGAGTATTCCCAGTAGTGCATTAAATTTTAACAAAATAAGGAGCCAAATACACAGCCTTCCTTCTGTCACCAAAAATTCTCCTGAACAAGACTTTGTCTGTTACATCCAAAACAGCAGGGTTACAGTTTACCAGCTGAATGAGGAAAGAGAAGCAAGTTCAAAGGCCTTGTGCCTAGATACCTGTAGGAGCTGTATCTTCAAAAGGAACATTCACATCTCCTGCTCTTGCTGGTACATTCCAGGTAGCATAAACATCATAGTGGACACGCTGAGTAAAAACCCAAAATGAATTGTTGAAGTGGTAACTACACCAGAGTTACTGAAAAGAAGACATTATAGGAAAGACCCCTGCCAACCATTATCATACTTTGTTATGTTTATAGCCATATTTTCATTAAGGACAAACTTTCACTCTGACAGTATGATACTCATTCACAATCGGCAAAAGTATTTGAGTTGTGTCACTTACTTGTAAATTTCCATTATTATTTTGTTTTTGAAGCAAAGGTTTAATGGGCTATCATGTTGTTTCTAGCTTAGCCCAATAAAAGACTAAACTTAGTAGATCTTATTTATTTACTGCTTAGAGTAAAAAAGTTTATCGATTACCAAAGCTACAAAATGTTCCTTTTCATATATAATGAATGTTTTTGAGGTCATTTTATAAAGTTACATAAATACCAAATAATTTCCTGAGGTTCTAGCACCATTCTGAAATTCATTCTTATTTTGATTCATGATATTTTACAGACGTTTCTAATGTAGATATAGTTAGCTTCACTTGGTTCATATTATTTATGAGAACTTTCCAAAATGATAAATTTTCTGCAAATGAAGTTGAAAAGAAGAGTTGAATGTGGAAGAACATGACAATCCTTATGTATGTTTAATTCTTAAAGTTGTCAGTGAAACCCCTGTTTATTTAACCATGTTAAGATGCTGGTTTATGGTATAAGGAAAGAGCTTGAAATTTTAAGAATCAAATTAAATGCTAGATTCATCCATCTGTATTCTTGAGTGCCATCTTTTCCCTATTATTTACTATCATTAATTACACTAGTACTTGTTTATGCATTATAGTTTTCTAAACAGTTATAGTGAGAAATGGTCTACTGTATGTTTAATATGTTTCACTATTTTGTTTCTTAACTCTTTTTGTAGGACCAGCTTGAATTTACATAATTTAGATTGTGCATTTGTGTGTCACAACTTTTTCATCAATCTTTATCCATACATTTTTTCTTAAACTATATTCTATATTAATGGAATCAAATGTTCAAAAGAAGGAGTATAATTTAAATTATTATTATTATACCATTTAACTGTGTGTTTTTAGTGTTTTACAGCATTATTGTAAGGATTGCAAAATAGTCCTTTTCCCTCATCTCCTTTTGTAAGATGCTTTTGTAACAGTCCTTTTATGTATTTATGTTTCATTCAGGGAAAGAAGAAGAAGAGGAAAAGGGACAAGCAGCCAGGAGAAACCAATGGTAAGTAAAACTTGTATTTCTTCCTTATAGAAACAAGGAAGGCCATAATTTCCTAATTAGAAAGTTAGAAAGTTTGTAGCCTTATTTCTTAGAAGTCCATTAGTCCATCCAGCTTCTTCCTGCTGGGTTTTAAATATCACTAAAATTGGTTTCATACTGCTTGCCTTTTAAAACATGTAGCCAAATAAGTGCATGAACACTCCTGTAATAGTAGTTACATTTTTCTTTAATAAACTACAAAGCCATTCACCATAGTGCCATAGTTTGTTAATGCATATGGCATTTTTATCTTAAGATATTTGCTATGTATCTGTGGGTGGGTGTGTGCGTGTGTGTGTGTGCATCTGTGAGTTGAACGTTAATTTGGGCTGAACCTGTGTGGTCTGATGCATGCCTTTATAGTGGTAAATTACAGCCATTGTTTTTTATAAAATTAAGGAGGTTTGCCATTCTTTCTAGAAAATTAGAAATACTGCATAGGCAATCTTATAGTCAATTTTGAAAAAACCCTGATTAATTTTTTCCCTTTGAAGCCTTTGTATAATTTGTTCTTTTTTTTCAGAACACAGCGAATGTTTCCTAAATCCTTGCCTTTCACTTCCTCCGATTACAGGTGCTAATGTCATTTTCAGCCATTTAAAAGTAGTTGCGTAAATTGCTTTTCATTTTTTTCCTCCTACCATTTTAGATTTTATTAACATTCAAACACTGAGATAACAATAATCATTCACACATCTGTAGCATACATGTATATTTATAATGTACTATGATTGATAGTTTTGTTTTCTTTATGAATTGTTATTCATTACAATGGCAATTAAACAGTAATGCAGTAAAAGTAACTCAGTTGTACTAACTGTGCAAATTGAATATGCAGTATTTCTTTAAAGAGACTGATCTAAATTAAAAAACCCTTAATAACGAACCTCCTTAATCTAATGGCATTTCACGCAGCACCCACTAAGTCTTTTCATGCCAGCATGCAACCACAGTTTTTTTTTTTAAAAAAATATATATTTTATTATCCATTTCTACTCCATTCATGGCTATTCTCTGCTTTACTTGCATACTGCTTGCTTCTGATCATTTTTATTTCTGGCTGAAACTAACATATCCATTTTGCTGTCTGCTTATTCTGAACCATTTTTTAAAAAAGAATAAAAGAACAATAAATGGAATGTTTACTTCAAAGCTGCATTATCCCCCAACCCCTTTGCCCTCTTCCAAAAGAAACTTTTCTTTTATTCCATTTTGTTTCAGTTTAAAGAAGAAAGCATGTTGTAGATCTTCATATTGAACTGCTCCTCCCTACGCTTTTTTTGTGTTTGATATCTATCCCAACTGTGCAGTCCATCAAGCCTTGTTCTCACGTAGCTTCTTTTGCATCTGAAGCTTATGAAGGAACAGTTGATGGCTGCCTTTTCAGTGGCTCTTAACTGGTTAAAGTTTATGTTTTATAGACAGTCCTTTCCAGGGATACTGCAGCTTTAATTGCAACAGCTAATCTCAATAGTTTGATAAATGCAGTAATTACTAATTTTTTTTAAAAAAAGAAAAGAAATGAACAATCAAACGTTTATATTATACAGTTAATAATGAGGTCATTGATTTTATTTCCTTCTTATTTTTATTTTTATTTCTTCTTTGTTTTCCTTTTTTTCCTTATCTTCTCTTTCTTTCTTTTCTCTCTTTCTCTCTTTTTGTGCTCGCTTCTTTCTTGACCTCATTCAGACCTGAGCGCTCCTAAGAAATGCCGAGCGCGCTTTGGCCTTGATCAACAGAATAACTGGTGCGGTCCCTGCAGGTGTGTATAGTCTCCCCCACCCCCCCAACTTGCAATGGCTGGTTTTGCAGCTGGTTTATTTGGTACTTTCCCTGCCCTTCCCTTTTCTCCTGCTTCGTTGCTTTGTAGCTCTGTGTTGTGATCTAGAACACACAAGGGAGTGGAATGCTGCTGTGAATGATCCTCTCTTTCTGTATAAAGGAATTTGCTCTCCTTCACCCATTTTGTTTTCTTCCCTCTGCTTGTCACTGCCGCTAGCTGAAAAAAATTCCCACTGTAAGACAGCGTCAGCCTAGACTTGCACACACAATTCCATCATCCTCTCTGGAAAGTTGCATACATTGTTAGAAAACATTGCCAAACATTCTTTGATATCACAGTGCAGCAGTTCAGCAGAGAAGACACAGCGCTAAGTCAAGGAATGCACAGCAGGTGTAGGCATTGTAGGTGTGTGTCACCTTGCAGAGATCCTCTTTCTTTCATGCCCTTTGGTCTGAGAGATTGGCAGTGAACGGAGTGAAATGTTAGCTGTAGCTGAGATTTCGCATCCAACTGAGCTCTATCCACCATTGTGTTGTTGTTGTTGTTTTTTATGTTTACCTTGTGCTAACAGATGCAAATACTCCAAAGAAGTGTCGGGCATTGTTCGGGCTTGACCGACAGACTTTATGGTGCAAACCGTGCAGGTATATAACCATTAGGCTTTGGGGAAGTAAATGAATTTTGTCATCTTAGTGTTACATGTGTGCTTTATTTTTAACCCTTTCCTCTTCCTGCTCTCTTCCTTGCTTCTGTGAGATCAGATTGCTGATAAATTTTTATCTTCGACATTCTTTGCTGATTCAATACAAATTCAATTTTCTTCTTTGAACAATGATATATCTTTTGGTACCTGAACTGCATTGGTTACACACACACGCTCATCTATGGAAAGTAACTCACATTTTTTAATCCAAGCAAGAAACTTTCTTGTGTTAAGTAAGCATTTACCTAAGGATCTCTGTGTATGTCTAGAGTCTCCAAAGGCTATTAAGAGGCTTTATCATTTGCAACAAGATATACTCAGATCTGAGCAAAGAAAATGCAAATTGGTATTTTACCACTCACAATGTTGAATCATTCAGTTGATGAATGGCTTTTTACTAATGGAACAATTTTATGCCTTCTCCTCCAATGCTCTGCACTCCTTTAGGCACGTCATTTATGCAATAAAAAGGGGGCACAACTATGGGAAAGGAATTCATCACTTGATCTGAGGTTCATCTTATGACTAAAATGTATAGTTGGCACACACAGAAGTCACCTAGAAGAAATATTTATACTAGTGCATTTGTTAATTCAAGTTGAGAATGAAAGGCACCCAAAACAACAATGGAAACAATCTTCTGCAGGTTTAAGCTCCCTTGGTAAATTCTGTAGGCACATGGTGAAGGGAAGCAAACTATCTTTCTTTCTGCATTTTTCCCCTAATATGGTTAAATTTGTTATTTCTCTGTTCTGATCCAAGCAGTCTTTGAATTTGGACTATTATGATGGTAGGTATTTCAATCTGACACACACTCTTTTCTGTATGTAGTGCTTCCCTCTTCACCTTCCCCTCTGATTCACACCCTTATCATATGCTTCATTCCTTTTTTTAGAAAGTAGAGCAATTATTCATGTTATATGCATGCCAGTTCTATTAGTTTTGTGATGCTGAGCTATACACATGGATTGAAAATGATACATCTAATTAATAGATAAAGTCCATGCATAGTTCTGGGGAAGGGGCGTTGAATTCCACCTATATCCTGTAATTTTCCATGCATGCTTAAGAACTATGATTTGTGTGAGAGAAGCAATAATAATAGCAAATGCTGTTGTCAAGTCATATATTAAATGCCTAAATTTTATAGCTAAAACTTATATGACCAAAGGCATCTATTCTTGTATTAATCAAACATGGTATATTGAGGTAATGTTCCAAATTTGTATTCGGTAAAACCACATGTTTTGAGCTGGGAAAGATCAGCAGTGTTGAATCCACCCATTTGGCTGAAGCCACAGAAGCAGCAGGGAGAAAAAGATCCACTTATTTAAGTAATAGAAGATTTTGGCATAGGTATTTCCAATAGACATTACATCTGTGCATTGCTATATTTACTCTACCCTGGCCTGCAAAAAGGATAATAGAATATAGTTTCTAATACACTACAAGGCCTTTAAAAAACCCTTTGGGTGGGTCATATCTTGAGAGAAGAATGGAAAGGGATGGCATTGATTAGCAGATGTAATTTCCAGCTTACCGTCACTACTCTAAATTACAGTAGCATCTTTCATTAATCATCTATTGTAACTGGAATTTCCAGTTTTAAAATTTCTTGTTATTGATGTGGAATGCTTTTAGTATACTATCCTTGAGTTGTGCAGATTAAAAAGGACATGTTTAAAAAGAACATAATTTCATCTGGACGAAAAAACATTGTTCAGACTAGGACTTGGAAGTATAATGTGTATAAGTTTAGTCTTGTAAATTAAAAACAATGTAAATAATAGCAGATTACAGCCCTTAAACACCATGTGGCTTTATTAATACACTACAAGTTCATTAATGGAATAGATTTCAAACAGACAAATAATATTGTTAATTTTGAAAAATCAGGTTCAGGTTTGTAATAAGTAAGACCAAGCAGCTACTCTCATGTCACTATAGAAAACTTAGTAGTCCACCTCTTTATTGATTTCTTGCACTCAGAAGGAATAGTGGTCTATTCTTCATAGTCCCATTTGGCTACAACATTGAAATTAAAGGTTTGTTTGAATTTTATTTTTAATATCACTTCTAATGTAGATAAGGAAGTAATTGTAGAATAATAAAGTATCCTCAGATTTCATTTGGGTTAGATTATCTATGTGGGATGAAATACCATTTATTGAACATTATATACTTTGTTCAAAGATATATTGATTGCTTAATTGAACATGATTTTAAGCTAAATATTTTGTCCACACTCTGGTAATTCAGAGTGCATTATCTATCTGGTAGTATATATTCAGTGAAACACCCTAAGTATGTTTGTGTGTGTTTTTAAATGAAGCAAGCTACTAATCCTTGAATATATGAATAAAATATTGAAGATAATATATACATTCTGAATAATTAAATGCTGAGGTAGCCTGACTGGAATATCCAGTGGTCAAACTTCTTTTTTCCCTCATAATATTGGTTCAAATAGAATCAACTAGAAAATAACCAAATACCTGTTTTATAATTTGGAGGATCACAGGGTTTTCTAAAGAATAATCTGCATACAATAAGCTTACCATTTGTTTTGAAAATGTTTATAGCTTGAGAAAGTATAAATATGCTTCAGAAAAATAAAATAATAAAAAGAGAAGACACAGCAGCCTCTAGAATCCTCTCAGAATTCAAGGCTCATTAATCCAATTGTAAATGTATAGCTAATGTATTTCATCTGGGTGTGCAACAGTAATTGCACATGTCCTAAGGCACAATAACACCTGCTGTCTTTCAGTATGTAGAGATAAGTTTGCTCTAATTATACTGGATAAGAGACTGATTTTAATTTGAAGTGATTTTTAGAAACAATTGGCAGCAACCAAACTCTAACATCAGGAAAGAATACTGCAATAAAGTTTTTGGATTACACTACATTTTGACTTAATGTTTAGTATTTCCTTGGTTAAGTATTGCAATATATTTAAATTGAAAAAGGGGAAATTGGATGGTAGAGAGTAAAGGAAACTAAATTTTGAGTACTGATCCCAGCCCTACTGTACATGAAATGTTCAATGTAGGAATATTCATTATCACTGTCATCTCAGGACAAGAACTTTTGTTACTTTTCCTATTCACTGATCCTTATAGGTTATATCTTTGGCAACCAGAACCACAAAGAGAGGCATGTGTAAGATTGATGATGGAAGGAAGGGGGCTATATTTTGAAACCGTAGCCATTTACCATAAACAAGTATACACCTATGCTTTGTGCTGCATGGCCTGCCAGAACTTTCTACCAACAGCATGGGAAATTATCCACATGGTCCTATTGCATTTACTTGTAGGGACTTCTGTACTACTTGGAAAACTGCTTTGTTCAGGCAAGACTTTGCATGCCAAATGTCTTCATAGAATGAATTCTTCAAATATGAATAGCACTATGTTAGCATAATATTGCACATTTCCCATGGGTCGGTTAAAAAAAAACCAAAATGCTGCTTTAAACACTTATTCAGCAGCATTGCTTCTTTTCTGCCTATAGGGACTAATTAAAGAATAAGGCATAAAGGACATGATACCAGAACATTGAATTCCATTAATTTCAGCGTAATATAGTTGTGATTATTGTACATGAGATGTTTAGTAAGGTTCTGTTTAGAACCCACCAAATTGCTCTTTTTGTCTTTTTCTTGCCGTAATACAGCATGATTTGCTATTGCCTGCCATCTCGACATTTTCTGTTATTTTCTGACCTTTGTTACTACTCACTTTTAATGATTTCATTCTTAAATTTTATATGCATGGCTCTCTTAGTTTCCAGCATGGATCAGTACATTAGTGTGATTAAAATTCTCCATTCCCATAACAATTGAATGTGCTTTGGGCAGAAAATCTAACTATTGAGGGAAAATGTTTAGTTATCTAACTTTCCAAATATATATGAAAACTCCATGGAGCAAATGTTGTGAGATTCCAAGATTTATTTAATGTTTTTTAACATGGCCTGTTAGCTTCTTTATACCAAATAATTGGACCATCTTCTTCAGTATTGCCTAGACCAATGGTTGTGGTTTTAGATGAGAGGGAGTCTAAAGAAGTGAACCTGGGTCTTCAGAACAGAAACAAAACTCTAAATCACATATAATTTGTGATCAAAGCTGCAGCAGCAAAGGGCTGACATCCAAACAGAAAGCTGTGAAATAAAAAACAGCAACAATAACTGCGTATTACTTTAATAATTTAATATACTAATAACTTTCTGGTAACAGGAGCCTGTCTTCTATACGGGTTTTCTTTTCTCAGAATATTGCTTAACTGCAACCTATGGCAGTATCCATTATTCTTTTACCTTTTTTGGAATATTGGCTAATACTCTCATCATGATAGCAAATGTGCAAGTTATTTTCAGCTGATTAGTTTATTATACTCTCATGAATACATTTAGCAAAGAAAAACCAGTATTTCCTATGACCGGTTTATATTTGGTCTGCAAGCTACATTCATTGTTAGCATCCTATTTTTGTTCTCCCTGTAGATATATCTGCTGAATATGATGCTGCATTGTGCATTGGACAGGTGTCATCTTTATATAAGTTTGATAAGTGGGGCATGGACTGTGGCTTGACATAATAGGGCTGATTTACTCTTTTAAGATGATACTGTTGCTTAATGTGTGCACTGCACCAACTGTTTAGACTTTCTTTAAGTTGCCAAAATAATTGAAATGACATTTCTAAAATCAAAGTAGAAATTGAATCCTCCCACCCGATCCTTATTAAAAAAAAAAGAACAGAAAAATATATATGATAACTTAAACCCTGCAGGTAATACAACCAGTTATTCTTGTTAAGTTGGATGATACTTATATTAATCTTTCTTTTTCTTCATTCCCCACTTCTATTTTTCTTGTTACTTTTTCTTTTTCTTTTTTGTCTCTGACACTTTTTTTGTTCACTCTACATGGTGTGGTTCTAAACAGAAACCGTCAGAACTGATAGATCTTCATCTACTTTTGATTCATGAGAGGCAGGACTCAATGAAAGGAGATTCCTGAGTTAAACTAACAGAATGATATTTATTTCAATTGTACCTTGGTTTCCCACCAAAGGTTGGCCTTGGTGACAATTAAAAATTATAGAAATAAAATTTTAAATGGAATTTAAAATATTGATTCGGTATCCATCAGACAGAATCTGCAACATGGTAGTTGTTTAATGGAGTGAGAATATACAAAGCACAGAACTAAACAATAAAATGCATTCATTTAATGCAAAAGTAACATGAAACTTTTTATTAAAAGAGGCTAAAGAGCAAATTGCTCTAGATTTTAGAGACAGACTTCTGAAATAACGATTGTTCACTAGTAACTAGTACTATGTTGGTAAACCCATTGGACGTGATTAAGGAATCCAGCATCATTTGTTGGCCTATTTTTAAATTCATATTCTGATTACAATTCAATAGCATATTTTCTTGTACTTACAGGAGATTTTTTTTCTGTTTCTAGGAGAAAAAAAAAGTGCGTTCGCTACATACAAGGTGAAGGCAGCTGCGTCAGCCCACCCTCTTCAGATGGAAGCTTACTAGATTCTCCTCCATCTTCTCCTAACATGGTAGCCTCCCCCACAAGAGACTCAAAACTACAGACTGAACAGACTCAGCCTCTCTCGCTCACATTGAAACCTGATCCATTGGCACACCTTTCAATGATGCCAACTCAAACATCCTCCATAATCCTGACTGAAAGCTCTACTGGCAAATCCAATGGTCTGCCTGCTAGTAATTGTCAGAACGGGGCACTGGACCATCAGTCAGCCACTCTACAGCAATCAGCACCGGCGTCTTCGTTAGCTCAACCATCAACATCCTCTTTGCATTCCCATAATTCTTTGGCTGGGACACAACCTCAGCCCCTATCACTTGTAACTAAGTCTTTAGAATAGCTTTAGCTTCTGAGTGTTATTTTTATTTTTGTGTCAGGATATTTTTTTTCTCTCATTTGTATTTTTTTTTTAAAAAAGGTGCCATATGGCTGGCTACATTAGTTAATGTCAATCAAGTTCATTGGTCAATATTTGACCCATTGTTATTTCATTTCTTTTTTTTAATATGTAGATGGAAAAGAAAGCCTCATGATTCTGCCAAAATTTTTATCAACAGCTGTCTAAAGTCTTTGTAGCGTTTAAAATATTATATATATATATATATATATATATACATATAAATATATATATACATAACTGTTATGTAGTTCCAATAGTTTAATTTCAAAGAACTGATTTTAAAAATGAAAAAGAAGCAATTTTGAAGCAGCCTTTGTTGAAGGTGTTGGTTCTTTATTATTTGTATTAAATACGAGCTTGCGAACCAATCATTTTACATCTGGTTTTTAAAAATTTTTAAAGGCACAACGAATGCAGTGCCACTAATTTTTTTCCCATTTTTTTTCTTTGTGCGATACAACTTTTTCTTGTGATGTTACTTTTTATTGTTTAAATGTACAGAAACAAAGGTTAAAATATGTTAATATGCATTGTTCCATGGTGTTGTCCTTTTTGGGGGAGGGAATGCTACTCAATTAAAAAGTATCACAACGCTATTGGACCAGTAGTATTTATTGCTTTAGAAATTGCTTGTTGTTACCTGTATGTTGTCCATTTTTAAAATATTTTCCTTTTCCCCCTTCAGATGTTTTGTAAAGTTTTTTTCCTTTTAGTGTACACACCATATATATAAAACAACTCATTTGTACAAGGTTTTTAAGTTTATGTATAAATGTTATATATTTTTTGTTTATTACTTTTTGTTTTATTTACTTTAATTCTTTATTTTGTTTTCTATCACGCAGTTGCCACCAAATGGACATTTGCAGATGGATCAATAGTATGTATGTGTGTGTATATAAAGCTTATATATAAGCTTTAAAGCCATTACATGAAATAAGACTTGAAAATTTAGCACAGAACTTTTTTTGTGATGCTGTTGAAATGCAGCAGTGTCTCCTTTTGAAATACAAATAAATTTCCCTGCCAGTTGTAGGCTGTGAGCAAAACTTTATGTGCCAAAATTCTCAGTGATTTTTGTCTTTCCACAACTTTTTTACACTGTATTTTTTTCTTCATCCTGTTTTGCTGTGATGTTACATAGGTAGATATGTATGTAGTTTTTAATGTCACCTATTACAGATGTGTTTGGTAGCAGATTGTCCAGAAACCATTTAAAAATGAAGAGGTATTAACCCCTAAAGGGCCAAATTCTGTATATTAGACTGTTCATAAAAGGAAAAATCAGACTGCCACTTCTATGTACACTTAACTACATACAGGTAGGTAGCAAAGTTTAAAAAAAATCCTAGGCATGTTGATGTTGCAAAAAAAAATTTTTTAAGATAAAATTCTGTATAAAGCTGAAAAAAAAATGTTCATCTGTTCACCCAGTGCCATTGTAGTTGACATGAAGCTATTGTAAAACTGTCTCCAGTTTTCTTTTCTGGTTTATTAAAGATGCTAACTATGACATATTTTTTTGGCGGGGGGAGGGATCCTTTGAATGTTTTCTAACAATTGTGATGTTACTGTTCCGTTTTATTGCTCTTATTCCAATTTTTCATTTTAATGGTTTGGAAGCCATTTTTGTAATGAATAAATGTCCATGCTGTACAGTATCTGTAGCATGCAGTTCTGGATTAATAAAAGCAACTTAGTATGTGCAGATGAAAAGTTTCAGCTCATTTACCATAGGCTTCCTTTAATCCTTGGTCTACACCACAGCCAAAAAGTTTTTCAACAATGTGCTGTTTGTCTCCATCTTATATAATATCTACATAATCTGTGTGTTTATAGCTTAATAAATTGTTATCAACTATGGTAAGGATAGTTATTAAATATTTATTAATTGCCTAATCTGAAGGCTGTGTAGAAAGTTTTGTATTCAGAACAATCTGCAATAGACTTGTGACCAATAAAAGACAGAGCAGGTAATTATTGCTAGGAATTGCCCAAATGCACCGTATGTACTAAATTTTAACCTCATGATCTAATTATTTTAGACAATCCTTGGGACAGTTGCTTTTTTTAAAATAAATAAGTAAATTCTTCCTTTAAAAGAGCTAAGAAATTCTAGTAGTTTCAAGGAGCAATTAAAAGAAAAAGCACACAAGTCTGAGTGCTTTTGCTTTCCATAGTTCCTTGCAGTAATTTCTTACATTATTTATTTGTTTGATTTGTATTCCACCTTTCTCCAGAAGCTCCAGGTGCTTAGTTGGAGATTTCCTTCAACATTGGAAGATTACAGACTTCTTCTTTCCTTGCCTAATCCTATGAATGGAGTTTATTGTAAAAGTCCCATGTCAAATACTAGAATGAGGAAGAATTTCTCTTTTACATTAAATCCTTACGCTTGTCTCAACACCTTCATTCTGGATTTTCAATAAGCGCAAACAAATTGCTTCCTGTACTGGAGAATAGATGCAACATCTACATTTGACTGTAATGATAAAATCCATCTAACACATAAAATGCTGAAATGACTATTACTGCCAAAGACTTCGAATTGCTTATTTGCTAAATTCAGTTTTAGGCATTTCTGCTTTAATGGCCCATGGTAAACTTTACAAGATTAATCAGTTCCAAGAGTTTTGCAGTTTCAGGCACTGCATGTTGTAACAAACACTTCGTCAATGTATGCATCCTATATTTGGCAGCAGGTTTTGTCCTTGTTTTCATTATTATTATTTCCCTCTACTGCATTATTTTCTCACAAGAGAAATTCATCGTACCTTTTAAGAAGTGAAAGAAAAGTATGTCATTACAAAGAAAAATGTCTCTAGAACATTTGATTTAGAATTTATGCCCCAAAGTGTACAAGCTGAATTTTTACAGTTTGGAATGGTTAAGGGGAATTTTGCTTTTTGAAGATTTTTACAATCTAATCGTATGCTACGTTTAATGGAGATTTTTCACATAGAAATGAATAAACAATTACAAAATATACATACAAAATATGTATATTTACAAAATGTAGATGGATGGGCAATAATACCATGAACTTAGGTATAGTTTTGTAGCATTCTTCCATTTGCATCTATACAGGTAATCCTCAACTAACAATCATTAGTTTGACAAGCATTCAAAGTTATGACAGCACTGAAAAAGTAACTTCACACTGACACTTCATGGAGTCTTCTCCACCACATGATCAGACTCTTGGTGTTTGTAAATCAAGGTTGTATTTACAATGCTTGCAGTATCTTAGAGACATGTGACTGACATTTACAATCTTCTCAGAGGGCTTCCAACAAGCAAAGTCAATGGAAGAAACCACATTCACTTAACAATTGTGATTCACTTAACAACCATACAATTTGCTTAATGATTGTGACAAAAAGAAAGGTAATACAACTGGGTGCATCTCATTGATGACAACATTTAGTGATGGAAACTCAGTTTTGGTTGTAAATTGAAGATTACTTGTATTGGATGTCATAAAGCATAATAGTCTAGAGAATAATGGATAAAATAAAAAAAATAAGAATAAATATTGTTCGTATTTTTGGAAATACTTAAACAAGGGATCACATCCTGTATCTCTTTTTCTACTGTCCTATATGGAGACTACAAATAAGATATAATATCAATACTTTAAAAAAATACTACAAAGTTTAAAGTAGTCACAAAAAGATATAATGTTGTATAATTGAGAGGTAGTACTAGGCCCATCATTTTATTTTTATTCAATTTGAGCAATTTATATTTATAATACCAAGAAATACAAACATTTTAATTTGTATTACCTATAACTGAAATAAGAAACCATATTGTGACCTGGGGCAAAGTTTTAATTGCATTATCCAACCAATGATACTGTATAGTGATGATACCAGGGTGAAATCTTGGTACATCTATTTGCCACCTCACTTAATGGTAAAAAAGACCTCTCTTGACTGTTGGAGAGAATGCAGAAACTACAAAAGACAGACCCAAATGTACTTTTTTCCAAAAGCAACGGGACAAACCCAAGAAAGTTGCCTTTTGGAAAAAGCACCTTTAGGACAACCGTGACTTGAATGATTGAGAATCTCCATATGCAAAAGACAATTAAATGGATGTGGTCCTGCGACATTGTCCCAGTCTTCCAATATTTTAAATCTTTATTTTTGTCTCTTTCCCCAACATTAATGCCAGCATTGTAGTTTCTTAAGTTTCCCTGTTTTTTCTTCCTCCCCCCAGTTTTTTTTATATTCCAAAATGTAAGAGCTATATTAAGGTACTAGGGGAAGGCTTTTGTTGTGCTGTGTGTTTATTCTTTCATTTGTCTTAATAGTTGCTAAGATCAGCATTCATCCCTGCAGAGAGCAAAGTATGCTAAAACCTTTTGTCTTTATGATATTCTCTCTTTTCATCTTCTTTGTCTAACTTTGTTCAGATTCAGTGTATTGCTTTCTACCAGCAATCTTTTCCTTAGCTTATTTTTAGTTCAACCAATTTTCACAAAGGCAGTTGGTCTTGCTTGATACAATTTGCAAAGATTTCTTCTTCATAGCATTTAGAATGCTATGATATGCTATGACATCAGAACAGCCAGGATCACAGTGAACAGGACCATGTCACTCTCATATGCCATTCCTAACTCCTTTACTATTCTACAAATATTCAGTTTAATTCTGTTTTCATCTTAGGACTCATCCAGTAAACATCTAAAACAGGGGTCCCCAAACTTGGCAACTTTAAGACTTCTGGACTTCAATTCCCAGAATTCCTCCTCCAGTCATGTTAGCTCAGGAATTCTAGGAGTTGAAGTCTAGAAGTCTTAAACTTGCCAAGTTTGAAGACACTTTATCTAAAATTATATTCAGTTCAGTTACAAACTTTCTTGATTTCTTTCCTGTTCAAACATAAACAGAATAATTAATCTTAAATGCTCAATGATTGCATAAGCAATGATTTAACAACTTTCTTATTCCCAAAGAGTACTGCTTCAGAAAATAGTATAATAGTATAAGAATTTAAATCTGATTTTTTACTCTGAATTAGCAAACAGGTAAGGAGAGGAAATAGTTTACCTATATGGAATTAATTTATTTTAGGAAAGAGATATTTTAAATAGATTTGGTATAATAGTAAGAATTGTTTTATGTACATTTTATATAATGTATTCATTATCGAAAATATTTGCCCTACTTTCAAAATATTGTTTTACCCATATATACTACATTCATGCATATTTAATTAATTAAAACTACTTTAACAAGTCTGTCAATATCAGTATGTGTTTACCTATTGTAAAATATTTTAATGTGTTTTAACCTATTTGATATAATGAATTCTGAAAGTGGGCTATAGATCTGACAATATGTTAAAAACAACAATTCAGTTTTAATTATAAATTTATTTTACTTTTTCATTAATTGCTAATCATAGAGAAGGGGGGAAACAGCTACACAATTCAGTTTTCCTATATTGTTTACTTAAGAATGGTAGCACCTAGATACTAACTGGATTTGAAAAACTTCTGCAGGATCAAGCTTGATTAGTACTTGCAGAGAAATGTCTACTAGTAAGATATGTCAAAGTCTAGGCTAGTAAGTCTCTCCCAAAATACAG